ACACATAAATTTTGAAGGGCTAGCTACCATATTATTACCCACAAGGGTAAAGGAACAGTACCACTGCTGGATAATTGGAAAGTCCCTGTGTGTCAACCTCTGTGCTTCATGGCAAGGTAGACTAGCAAACATGCCCAACCTTTACTCACATTCGAAAAAACACTCCCAACAAGATTGCTTGCCCCAAAATCGATGAGGCATCGCCTCCGAATCTCGAGAGCCAGACTCCCAACATGATTACTTTCTCAAAAATCGAAGAGAGGGTAAAGGAACAGTACCACTGCTGGATAATTTGAAAGTCCCTGTGTATCAACCTCTGTGCTTCGTGGCAAGGTAGACTAGCAAACATGCCCAACCTTTACTCACATTCGAGAAAACACCCCCAACAAGATTGCTTGCTCCAAAATCGAAGAGGCACCGCCCTCCGAATCTCGAGAGCCAGACTCCTAACATGATTACTTTCTCAAAAATCGAAGAGAGGGTAAAGGAACAGTACCACTGCTGGATAATTGGAAAGTCCCTGTGTGTCAACCTCTGTGCTTCGTGGCAAGGTAGACTAGCAAACATGCCCAACCTTTACTCATATTCGAGAAAACACTCCCAACAAGATTGCTTGCTCCAAAATCGAAGAGGCACAGCCCTCCGAATCTCAAGAGCCAGACTCCCAACATGATTACTTTCTCAAAAATTGAAGACACCGCTCTCCGAATCTCGAGAGCCAGACCCCCAGCATGATTGCTTTCTCAAAAATCGAAGAGGCATCGTTCTCCGAATCTCGAGAGCCAGATCCCCGACAGGATTGCTTGTTCGAAAACCGAAGAGGCACCACTTTCCCAACTTCAAGAGCCGGATCTCCTTGGATAAAGCTTGTCTGTAATCTTCACACGCAACATCAGCTTTCCAGATACCACAGACCACTTTTTCAAAGTGCTCTAACAGAGTTAAAACTTGTGAAGCTGGCAGCTCCCACTACCGTGCTATGACCAAGGAGGGTAAAGGAATAGCATTATTACTTGATGTTAGGGAGACTCCTATATATGTCGACCTCCATCCCCAACGAACAGGCAGACCTGCAAAAATGCTCAACCCTTCCTCTTATCTGAGAGGGCACTCCCAACGAAGCCTTTCGAAATATTCAGCTTTCTTTCCCCCCGATAATACCTCTGTAAACAAGCTATACTAGAGCAAGAATATCTCATATCATCAGGGTTAAAAGCAAGAGTATCCCATATCATGCTTTTTCCCTGTCTTTTCCTTTGGCCTTGTTCTTACTTGCAAGACAAGGAGAAAAGAGAGCAATCAGTCAGCACTTGGAATCAAGCTTCCAGCCAGGAACTGACTGCCTGGAACCCCTTACCCTGGCATTGCTCTCGAGTACTCATCTTCAACATCTTATGCTTCCAGGGAAGATACCGCATCTGCCTGAGGAACAGATAGGGCAAGTGAGAAGGATACAAGGAAGCATGTGGAGACAAGCGTAACAGCACACGTGCCGATACATCCACTACTCTGTCAAAAGCAAAAGTATCCCATATCAGCAGGGTCGAACGTACTCTAGATTTGATGGACTTGTTTTGACCCTCAAATTCTTCAGTCGGCCTTATACTTTGGAGGAAACCATAAAACCCTCCAGCCCAGTTCAAGAATAAGCCTGTGGAAAGTTACTTCTTCAAAAGCAAAAGTATCCCATATCATCTCTTCTCATTTTTCTTCTCTTTATCCTTCATGCTGCCTGCAAGATAGGGAGAATGTGAACAATCAGCCGGAGCTCTGATTGTTTACCTTGTCTGTTACCTCTTTCAGCAGATCCCCTAGCTCGGCGACTTGGGGGACTCCTACTACATGGTTTGTATCGCGCTTGACCAAGCCTGAAACTACAAGTAAGCTTCAAGTGACATTGATACATTACCTTGTGCATCTCCACCAGTTACAGATACCACCCCTGGATGGAGGAAGAGTACTTCCAGAGAAGATTCCACATCTACCTATGAGACAGATAAGGAAAGTCAAGACGATACCACACTCCGGTACTTAGAAGTTTCGTGGTTACGAGATCATTCTCCCACAATATTTCCTAATGTCATTTGTACTAAATCATTCACTTGTACTCCCTAAAGGAGAGCTTGAACCTATGTACTTGTGTAAACCCTTCACAATTAATGAGAACTCCTCTATTCCGTGGACGTAGCCAATCTGGGTGAACCACGTACATCTTGTGTTTGCTTTCCTATCTCTATCCATTTATATACTTATCCACACTAATGACCGGACCAATCTAGCGAAGATCACAAAAAGTGACCGTTTTCGCTACCTAGGATCTATCTTGCAAGAGAACGGAGAATTAGATGGAGATCTCAACCATAAAATACAAGCTGGATGGATGAAGTGTAAGAGTGTATCCGGCGTGTTGTGTGATCGTCGTAGGCCACTGAAGCTCAAGGGAAAATTTTATAGGACGGCAATAAGGCCAACGATGTTGTATGGCACAGAATGTTGGGCGGTGAAGCATCAACACGTACACAAAATGGGTGTAGCGGAGATGAGGATGCTTCGTGGGATGTATGGGCACACGAGAAAGGATAAGAATGGGAATGAGGATATCCAAGGTAAAGTAGGAGTAGCCAAAATTGAAGGAAATATGAGAGAAAATCGGTTCCGGTGGTTTGGACATGTGCAAAGAAGGCCTACTGACGCTCCGGTTCGAAAATGTGACTACGGGACAGAAGTTCAGGGCCGAAGGGGTAGAGGAAGACCTAGGAAAACTTTGGAAGAGACCCTAAGAAAAGACTTGATTACTTGGATCTAACGGAGGACATGACACAAAACCGAGCGCAATGGCGTTCTAAGATTCATATAGCCGACCCCACTTAGTGGGAAAAGGCTTTGTTGTTGTTGCTTCCTTTCCCTTTCCGGTCCTTTCTTTATCATTTATTTTTTCTGCTTTCTTCTTTCTTCCTTTCCCTCACCATGTCGGTACCCAGGCTTCAACCTTCACTGCACGATCGCACGACCTCGACACCCAGGGCTTCAACCTTCACCGCACGATCGCACGACCTCCGACCAAGACCTCGACACCCAGGGCTTCAACCTTCACCGCACGATCGCGGAGCTCAACCTGGACCACCTCAACAAGGTGTTCATGGCCGTCGGGTTTCTGAAGACATGAAGACGAAGTGGCCGGTGGCGTTCACGATCGTGCGATCGCGGAGCTCAACACGGACTCGCTACTGTGAATGGAGTACATGAAGACGAACCGGCCGGTGGCGTTCACAAGGTCGACGGGAGACGGCCTCCAGTTCAAACTTCCTTCGGACGCCATGCTGGCGTCACCATGGCATCAGATAGGCCGGTCCCAAGGTCTGTCGATTTTAGGCCGGCCTGTGGACTGGCATGGGCTGGGTGCCAGTCAATTGGGTCGGCTAGAGCAAATTCACTGGGTCCTGGCCTATTTTTTCGGCTGGGTGCTGGGCAAAAAGTCCTCCAGTGGACTTGCTCTTACTATATAGAATTCAAAATAATTATACGATTGCCATTTTTTGTTTACCGGTCAACTGTATTCCCAACGACCTTACCCGCACAATCAATCTTGATAACCAGGTTTCCACTAACCTCCTTGTACTCGATTGTGTTCGCATGCATGAGCCAAGGTAGGTGCATTACTATTTGCATTCTGATAAACAACAATGATTTTTTATGAATATTGCAGACTAGAATTTCCAATCATTCCCAAGGGAGAACGGTTCAATCATAACATCATGGGCTAAGAATACAATTTCATGTTTAAGTTTTTCTCCACATACATCACGTTAACTTGGTGTTTTTTACTTTCCTAGCATGTTCCCTTCTGTGCATTTTCAGCTTTTAAATAGTGACTTATTAGTGAAAAAGCAGATTCACATGACGAAGACATAAGTATAAAATTACTTGTCACTAATTCAGTCATCAAGCTTAAGTCATCTATTTTAATCTTCAAAATTAACACAATAAGCTAGAAAATTCAGTTCATGAAAATCTTGCTCAATGTTGTTTGACTTGTTTCCTTTCTTAAACGTTTAGATGCTCATTAATTATATGCTAATAAAACTTGCTCTTCATCTTCAAATGGATCATAATCCAATATAGCTCTGTTACCAATTAACTAGCATAACTACAAGTCTACAAGACAACTTTGGTAAATCCGGTGCCGGCAGGATCATTTTCTTCTTCTTTGTGTTGTGTGGCTCAGGTTTTTTTTCAGTCTTTTACAATTTTAAATTGATTGTCTCTACATTATCTACCATGACCTACGAACAATTGAAACAATCACCCTCCCAAAATAATATGATCGGTGTTGCAAGGGATTGTAGCTTAGTTGTTTACAAGCAGATATTTTTTTATTTTTTTTAGTACATCTTCTTTATGTTAAGGAAGAGAAGAAGTTTGGCTAAGCCACACAATGAATAGCCTAATTTGATATCAAATTCGTCATCTACAATATTCGAACCTAAGGCCTCTACTTATAAGTGAGGAGGAATATCATTAGATCGTAGTACTAGGTGTTGCAATTAGTCATTTTTTTGTTGAGAATAAATCTCATATTAATGAAATGAGAGACTTTGTATGTGCTTATAATAAGTAGTTGAGGTACTCTCCCTATTGTCAAATTTTTTTTGGTGGAACTTCAACATTTTTCATGCTATCAAAACAAGTTGTCTCATGTATGACACATAATGGCTTTACGTGATCCATATCTTTCGAGTTGTATTATTCACATGTTAAACTTAAAATTCGTCATACGTAACGGAACATATTAAGAATGAATCTCATATTAAAAAAAAAAAAAAGACTTTGAAATCTCAAGTTTATTCTATTTCCATCCAAAGTTCTATATTTGATTTCCCATCTCCAAAATCGTTCCTATAAAGAAAAAGAAAAAGTATAACGTACGTGTAGGGCTTTGGAGATAAGAAATCAAATAAAAAGACAACAATATGACCCCACGAAAAGTACAGAGGGAAAAGAGGAGTCCTTCTTTGTGGGCAGAAAGGTGCAGACTTGTTATAAGTCTTTCAACACCTAATTATCAAAAGCAAATTGCAGAGTTCGAGAGTAGTCTGGATCTGTTGATTTTTATAATCTATGGAAACAAGTCCCTTCATCTGAAAACTTGTACGCAGTAAGTTCCTCTTGCAACTATATATGCGAAATTCATTATTTATTAATGAATTATTTCATTTTTCTTGAAGTTTGTATATTTAATTAAAGATTTCATCAATAACCAGCTATATAATTTGTGCTGTTTTCAGCCTTGATTATTCCATCATTCGGTCTGGATTTGTTGACGATAAGTGCAAACAAGTGCCCTCATGACCTGACAGGCTTCCATGTAACTGCTGCTTGCTTCAGATCATGCCCAATATTTGTGCAACGGTGCAAGTTTCGAGTCTTGAAGCGTAGGGTTGCAAGAATTCCCCCCTGCAGTTACGGGTAATCCCAAAACTGCCCATTTTTTGTCCAGTTCAAATTTAAGAAAAATAATGTTTACTAGTATATGATTTTTGCAAGCTTGAGTTTTTCTTTTTGCTCGTCTTTTAAATTTATATGGTGTGTTTTATTGTGCTTTATTATTTATTGTGTTTTATGTCATCTCAAATGACAAGTGAATCAAATGTACACAATTAACAATTAATGGGATAAATTTATTAATTGATGTGACATATCACATCAAATTGTACATAAATATGGTACAAACATATGTGATTCCCTTAACATTTTCGGATTTTCCTAGTAATATTATATGGCGTGTTATTGTGCTTTATACATACAATATCAAGTTTTTTTTTTTTTTTTTTTTTTGCTTTTTATTGGAACATACAATATCAAGTTATTAGGGACTGTATACCTGGTGGTGGGAAGGTTATGATGTAGGCAACCTTGATCTGAATCCGGCCCGTTGCCATCCTTTGCTATTCCCAAATTGTTATCTCTAGATATGCTTACTAGGAGTCTCCATTAATTGAATATTATTTCAATTTTACTATAAATTTATATAGGTAAATGCTAGGGACATTAAATTACTTTAGTCTAAAGTAAGGTTTGAAATTGGCACTATTTAAATGAACAGTGTTTCAATCCGAATTTCAGATTAATTACAACCATGCCATTGGTCTTTGTGTTGGTTTTGGGTCAGCAGCCAGGCCCTCAGCCATGCCCAAATGTGTTGGTTTTAGCTGGGAAGCCCCGCCCTCAGTGAGGCCCAAATTGTTAATTACAATTTTGCCCATCTAAGATTACAATCCAATGGTGGAGATGGTGTATTAAGAAGGGCAATTTTGTCCTCTCCGTTTTGGGCGAGATAGGGGGTCATCGGGTAGGTATCATTTGCTGTCGTTCAATTAGGGTTTCAGGGAGGGTCTGAGAGAGAGAGAGAGAGACAGAGAGAGATGGCGATGGGAGGAGAGCGAGGGGGAGGGGTAGGGCTCTCGGCACTGTTGTTGCGGATGGGAGGGTCGGTATGGTCAGAGAAGACCATATGGGTCGTCGGGATTTCAGGGAGACGGGGTAGGGGTCATCAACAAACCCTATTGAGAGTGGGGTGTGCTGGATCTTGCGCTGCATGCCTCGAATCCAAAGATAAGTTCTTTTTAAAATTGTATTCTTTAATGGTGCCTTAGATTTTCTAATTGTTTAGTATGTTAGGTCCGGTTTTGGGGGATTTGTGATTTTACAGAGAGAGATGGATAGGGAGATAGAGATAGAGAGAGAGAGGAGATAGCATGGGTGTGTGCATTTTTTTGAGTTAATTAATGGGTTAGTGCGCATGTCAGTGAGGAGAGTGACAGAGGGGTGAATGGCATTGGCAGGGTATGGGTTTTCAGTTTTTCCCTCTGATTCAATAGGTTATGCACTGTTTGAAAATAAATTGTTTATTGTTTTGTTTTCCGTTTGCTTTGTTAAAACCATCATTCGAATTTTTCGGTTTCACTGTGCTCATTTCTGTGCTTCTTCAAAATTTTCTGGTGTTTGCTTTTCATTCCTATGTTGGTTGATTTTTTTTTTTTCCCATTTCTTGGTTCCTTATGTATTTCTTGGTTCTGTCTAATTTTTTGCTGTGGGATGATGCTTGCAGGTGAACCTGAAAACAGCATACAAGATAGAGAACTGGTATGCTATTTTGTCTTTCTGTTGGATTTTGATGTTTATGTTCTGCTACTAAGAGGATTTTATAGTGTTCTAAATCTGTTTTGTAAATGTGCTTAAAGATTGGACATGTTCTTGAATGTTAGCCATGTTGTTTGAATTGGATATGTGATTGAATATTAGGTATTTAGTTTGAATTGATCTGGATATGTGGTTTATTGAACTAGAATTTGGATATGTGCTGATTTGAATTGAGTATGTTGAATTAGAGATGTGCTACTTTGAATTAAGTTGAAAAATGGCAAGCCATGGTATATTGAATGTTTTTTTTTGCCCCAAATTTACATAAGTCCCAAAGGGTGAATGTCGTCCCAAAACTTTACAACAACAACAACAACAAAGCCTTTTCCCACTAAGTGGGGTCGGCTATATGAATCCTAGAACGCCATTGCGCTCGGTTTTGTATCATGTCCTCCGTTAGATCCAAGTACTCTAAGTCTTTTCTTAGAGTCTCTTCCAAAGTTGTCCTAGGTCTTCCTCTACCCCTTCGGCCTTGAACCTCTGTCCCGTAGTTACATCTTCGAACCGGAGCGTCAGTCGGCCTTCTTTGCACATGTTCAAAATCACCGGAGCCGATTTTCTCTCATATTTCCTACAATTTCGGCTACTCCTACTTTACCTCAGATATCCTAATTCCCAATCTTATCCTTTCTCGTGTGCCCACACATCCCACGAAGCATCCTCATCTCCGCTACACCCATTTTGTGTACGTGTTGATGCTTCACCACCCAACATTCTGTGCCATACAACATCGCTAGCCTTATTGCCGTCCTATAAAATTTTCCCTTGAGCTTCAGTGGCCTACGACGGTCACACAACACGCCGGATGCACTCTTTCCATCCAGCTCGTATTCTATGGTTGAGATCTCCATCTAATTCTCCGTTCTCTTGCAAGATAGATCCTAGGTAGCGAAAACGATCGCTTTTTGTGATCTTCGCTAGATTGCTCCGGTCATTAGTGTGGATAAGTATATAAATGGATAGAGATAGGAAAGCAAATACAAGATGTACGTGGTTCACCCAGATTGGCTACGTCCACGGAATAGAAGAGTTCTCATTAATTGTGAAGGGTTTACACAAGTACATAGGTTCAAGCTCTCATTTAGTGAGTACAAGTGAATGATTTAGTACAAATGACATTAGGAAATATTGTGGGAGAATGATCTCGTAATCACGAAACTTCTAAGTATCGGAGTGTGGTGTCGTCTTGCCTTACCTTATCTGTCTCATAGGTAGATGTGGCATCTTCTCTGGAAGTACTCTTCCTCCATCCAGGGGTGGTATCTTTAACTGGTGGAGATGCACAAGGTAATGTATCAATTTCACTTGAAGCTTACTTGTAGTTTCAGGCTTGGTCAAGCGCGATACAAACCATGTAGTAGGAGTCCCCCAAGTCGCCGAGCTAGGGGGTCTGCTGAAAGAGGTGACAAACAAGGTAAGCAATCAGAGCTCCGACTGATTGTTCACCTTCTCCCCATCTTGCAGCAGCATGAAGGATAAAGAGAAGAAAAATGAGAAGAGATGATATGAGATACTTTTGCTTTTGAAGAAGTAACTTTCCACAGGCTTATTCTTGAACTGAGCTGGAGGGTTTTCTGGTTTCCTCCAGAGTATAAGGCCGACTGAAGAATTTGAGGGTCAAAACAAGTCCATCAAATCTAGAGTACGTTCCACCCTGCTGATATGGGATACTTTTGCTTTTGACAGAGTAATGAATGTATCGGCACGTGTGCTGTTACGCTTGTCTCCACATGCTTCCTTGTATCCTTCGCACTTGCCCTATCTGTTCCTCAAGCAGATGCGGAATCTTCCCTGGAAACATAAGATGTCGAAGATGAGTACTCGAGAGCAATGCCAGGTAAGTAATCAGGTAAGGGGTTCCAGGCAGTCAGTTCCTGGCTGGAAGCTTGATTCCAAGTGCTGACTGATTGCTCTCTTTCTCCTTGTCTTGCAGGTAAAAACAAGGCCAAAAGAAAAGACAGGGAAAAAGCATGATATGGGATACTCTTGCTTTTAACCCTGATGATATGAGATATTCTTGCTCTAGTATAGCTTGTTTGCAGAGGTATTATCGGGGGGAAAGAAAGCTGAATATTTCGAAATGCTTCGTTGGGAGTGCCTTCTCAGATATGATGAAGGGTTGAGCATTTTTGCAGGTCTGCCTGTCCGTTGGGGATGGAGGTCGACATATATAGGAGTCTCCCTAAAAACAAGTAGTAATGCTATTCCTTTACCCTGCTTGGTCATAGCACGGTAGTGGGAGCTGCCAGTTTCACATGTTTTAACTCTGTCAGAGCACTTTGAAAAAGTGGTCTGTGGTATCTGGCTCTCGAGATTCGGAGAACGATGCCTCTTCGATTTTTGAGAAAGCAATCATGCTGGGGGTATGACTCTCGAGATTCGGAGAGCAGTGTCTCTTCGATTTTTGAGGAAGTAATCATGTTGGGAGTCTGGCTCTCGAGATTCGGAGGGCGATGCCTCTTCGATTTTGGAGCAAGCAATCTTGTTGGGAGTGTTGTCTCGAATGTGAGTAAAGGTTGGGCATGTTTGCTAGTCTACCTTGCCACGAAGCACAAAGGTTGACACACAGGGACTTTCCAATTATCCAGCAATGGTACTGTTCCTTTACCCTCTCTTCGATTTTGAGAAAGTAGTCATGTTGGGAGTCTGGCTCTCGAGATTCGGAGGACGGTGCCTCTTCGATTTTGGAGCAAGCAATCTTATTGGGAGTGTTTTCTCGAATGTGAGTAAAGGTTGGGCATGTTTGCTAGTCTACCTTGCCACGAAGCACAGAGGTTGACACACAGGGACTTTCCAATTATCCAGCAGTGGTACTGTTCCTTTACAGTTGTGGGTAATAATATGGTAGCTAGACCTTCAAAATTTATGTGTCTAAACTTTTGTTAGTGCTGTTTCTTTGCTATTCTTTTACCTTTCTTGGTCAGAGCGATGTAGTGGGAGCTGCAAGCTTCACGTGCTCAACTTTGGCAGAGAACTTTGGCAAAGTTATTTGTGGTACCCATGAGCTATTGTTGCGTGTGGGAAGTGGATGATTGAACAGTAAGATTCATGTGCTTTCTACTTCACCAGAAGTCTTCGACAGAATGCCCATAATTTCTGCAAAGCTGAGTGTGCGTGTGACAGGTGCTGACAAGGGTAGAAAAGTAGGTGCCTCTTCGATTTCTGAGATTGGCCCTCGTGGTCTCTGAGCAGCCCAGCTTTTGAGAAAGCGAGCGCCTCTTCGATTGATTCGGAGAACGATGCCTCATCGATTTTTGAGAAAGCAATCATGCTGGGGGTCTGGCTCTCGAGATTCGGGGAGCAGTGTCTCTTCGATTTTTGAGAAAGTAATCATGTTGGGAGTCTGGCTCTCGAGATTCGGAGGGCGGTGTCTCTTCGATTTTGGAGCAAGCAATCTTGTTGGGAGTGTTTTCTCGAATGTGAGTAAAGGTTGGGCATGTTTGCTAGTCTACCTTGCCACGAAGCACAGAGGTTGACACACAGGGACTTTCCAATTATCCAGCAATGGTACTGTTCCTTTACCCTCTCTTCGATTTTTAAGAAAGTAGTCATGTTGGGAGTCTGGCTCTCGAGATTCGGAGGACGGTGCCTCTTCGATTTTGGAGCAAGCAATCTTATTGGGAGTGTTTTCTCGAATGTGAGTAAAGGTTGGGCATGTTTGATAGTCTACCTTGCCACGAAGCACAGAGGTTGACACACAGGGACTTTCCAATTATCCAGCAGTGGTACTGTTCCTTTACCCTTGTGGGTAATAATATGGTAGCTAGACCTTCAAAATTTATGGGTCTAAACTTTGTTAGTGCTGTTTCTTTGCTATTCTTTTACCCTTCTTGGTCAGAGCGATGTAGTGGGAGCTGCAAGCTTCACGTGCTCAACTTTGGCAGAGAACTTTGGCAAAGTTATCTGTGGTACCCATGAGCTATTGTTGCGTGTGGGAAGTGGGTGATTGAACAGTAAGATTCATGTGTTTTCTACTTCCCCAGAAGTCTTTGACAGAATGCCTATAATTTCCGCAAAACTGAGTGTGCGTGTGACAGGTGCTGACAAGGCTGGAAAAGGCTGGAAAAGTAGGTGCCTCTTCGATTTCTGAGATCGGCCCTCGTGGTCTCTGGGGAGCCCAGCTTTTAAGAAAGCGAGCGTATCTTCGATTTTTGAGATCGGCCATCGTGGTCTTTGAGCAGCCCAACTTTTGAGAAAGCAAACGCCTCTTCGATTTCTGAGATCAACCCTCGTGATCTCTAAGCAGCCCAGCTTTTGAGAAAGCAAACGCCTCTTCGATTTCTGAGCAGGCGCCTCTTCGATTTCTGAAGCTTCGTCGAGTGCAGATTTTTATAGGGGCTGGCATTAAGTTCCAAAGCACACTTGAATCTCCACCAGTAGAAGCTTCATTCTTGCACTTCTAAGATCTTGATTTTTCCGACCTCTTCTCTCTTCAACACCTTTGAAAATGTCTGGCCCCTCCGACCGTCGTTTTGACTTGAACCTTGTTGAAGAGGCAGCCCCGCCTTCTCCAGACAACATATGGCGCCCATCCTTCGTTTCCCCTACTGGTCCTCTTACCGTTGGGGATTCCGTGATGAAGAATGATATGACCGCTGCGGTGGTGGCCAGGAACCTTCTCACTCCCAAAGATAACAGACTACTTTCCAAACGGTCTGATGAGTTAGCTGTTAAGGATTCGCTGGCTCTCAGTGTTCAGTGTGCAGGTTCTGTGTCTAATATGGCCCAACACCTATTTGCTCGAACCCGCCAAGTTGAATCATTGGCGGCTGAAGTGATGAGTCTCAAACAGGAGATTAGAGGGCTCAAGCATGAGAATAAACAGTTGCACCGGCTCGCACATGACTATGCTACAAACATGAAGAGGAAGCTTGACCAGATGAAGGAAACTGATGGTCAGGTTTTACTTGATCATCAGAGATTTGTGGGTTTGTTCCAAAGGC